GGGGGTCCTAGGGGGTGTTTTGGGGAACATTTGAGTGGTTTTGGGGTCCCAGGACCGTCTGACCCCCCCCGTTCCCCCCCAGGCTCCCTCCTGGCCGAGTTCTCGTTTTTCAGGGGGGTTCTGGGGGGTCCTAGGGGGTGTTTTGGGGAACATTTGAGTGGTTTTGCGGTCCCAGGACCGTCTGACCCCCCCCCGTTCCCCCCCAGGCTCCCTCCTGGCCGAGTTCTTCTCGTTTTTCGGGGGGCTGGACCTGCCCCGGCTCCTCCTGTCTCCCCGCGAGGGCCGAGCGCTGCCCCGGCCCCCCCCCGGCGCTCTGGGGGGGCTCCGCCCGGGCCCCCTGACCCTGCAGGACCCCTTCGAGCTGAGCCACAACGTGGCCGCCAACGTCCCCCCCCGGGCCGTGTCGCGGTTCGGCCGCTGCTGCCGCGAGGCCGCCAAATTCTGCCGCGGCCCCGAGTTCCGGCACCGACCCCGCCGGTCCGGCCGCCCCTGGGGGGTCCTGGGGCTCCTCCGGCCCGGGGGGGGCACCCCCGAGAGGGACGGGGGGGGCTTCGCCATCCCCCTCCCGCTGCGGCCCCGCGGGGGTCCCGGGGGGGGCCCCGGGGGGTTCCGGGAGGTTTGTGGGGCCGTGGGGTTCGTGCTCCGGGACGTCCTGGGCTGTCACTGCGACCCCGGGGGGGAACGGGGGGGCCCGGGGGGGCCCGAGGACGGGGAGGAGCCGCCCCCGGGTCCGTCACACGCGGAGGAGTCACCGCCGGGGGCCGAATGTCACCTCGGGGGGGGGACGGGACCTTCCCGGGGGGGATCTGGGGGCGCGGGGGGGGCCGAGGAGCTGCCCGTGGGTCCGTCGGGATCGCCGGGGTCCGGGGGTCCCCTCGGGGGGGCGGCGGGGGGAGATTCCCGAGGGGAGCTCGGGCTGCTCCAGGGTCCGTCACCGGCCCCGGGCTCGAAGCGGCTCCGCCCCGAGGCCCCGAACGGCCCCGGAATTCCCCCCGGGAAGCGCCCCCGGCCCCCCCCGCTGCTCCCCCCGTCCCTCTGGAGCTGCTCCGTCTGGCACCGGGTGTGGAGGGGCCGCCGCCGCCTCCGCCGCCGCCTCCGCGACCCCCGGGGGGGGCCCGGGGGGGGTCCTGGGGAATGTCCCGGGGGGGCTCAGGGGCCCGGGGGGGGTCCTGGGGAATGTCCCGGGGGGGCTCAGGGGCCCGGGGGGGGTCCTGGGGAATGTCCCGGGGGGGCTCAGGGGCCCGGGGGGGGTCCTGGGGAATGTCCCGGGGGGGCTCAGGGGCCCGGGGGGGGTCCTGGGGAATGTCCCGGGGGGGCTCAGGGGCCCGGGGGGGGTCCCGAGGATCCTGGGGGGGGTCCCGGGCGGGACCCGCTGGCGCTGGAGCGGGCGGTGACCGAGGCCATCGTGCGGGGGGACACCGGGGACCCCCTCGGGAACCCCCCCGGGACCCCCCCCGGGGCCCTCCCGGAGCCGCTGCTGCGCTTCCAGGCCCGCGCCCGCCGGGGGGGGTCGCGCCGGGACCCCCAAGTGCTGCTGCGGCTCCGGCCCATCCCCGACCCCCCCCCGCCGCTTTTCCACGAGTTTTTCCACTTCCTGAGGAGTTTCCTGCCCGAAATGGTTCGGCAGCGCCTGGGAATGGGGCGGGGGGAGGGGGGCGCGGACCCCCCCGAGGGGGGGGAGTTTTGTACGTCCTGAGTTTTTCCAGTAAAATCCGTTTTGCAGTTGGCTCCTGCCTGGGGGGTTTTGGGGACAAAACGGGGGGAAAAAAGCAGCTCTCAGGGACAGAAATCCGCCCTCTGTCCTTGTCACGGGTTATCCCTTAAATTCCTTTAATTTCCCTTATTTCTAAGTTTTGGAGGATTTGGGGCCTCCCAGCACCGGCTCGGCTGGAAATTGGGTTTATTTCGATGTTTCCCGGGGGTGTTTAACCCTGAACACCAGAAGATTTGGGTGTTAATGTTAACGACGATAATCGGGGGGGTTCCCAGAGGGAATTTTGGGGAGAAACCTGCGGCCAATGGGAGCGGCCGGTGCGAAACTCGCGCGCGATATGCAAATCACCCGCGAGGGGGCGGGGCGAAGGCAACGGGACCGCGCGGGCGGCCAATCGGGTAGAAGGGGAGGCGGGGTTATGCAAATCGTGTGTCTTTCGGTCGCGCTCAGTGACGTCACTCGAGCGCGACGCCGTCACCGCAGCGACGATGGCGCTGAACGCGGGTGCGGCACCGGCGGGACCCCCCCGGGAAAACCCCACCCGGGAAACCCCCCCGGGAAAACGCCCCTCGGGAACACCCCCGGGAAAACACCCCTCGGGAAACCCCCGGGAACACCCCCGGGAAAACGCCCCTCGGGAAACCCCCGGGAACACCCCCGGGAACACCCCCGGGAACACCCCCCGGGAACACCCCCGGGAAAACCCTCGGGACCCCCAACCTGGGACCCCCCAACCCGAGACCCCCCTGAGCACCCCCCGTGTCCTGGGGACCCCCCGACCCC